TAAGGCGACTGGTCCAGCAATTTGGGTGTGGGTTCAGCATTGGGGTTAAGCGTTCAGGGTCAGCCTAGTGGTGTGGGGATGTGAAGTTCGTAGTTTAGGCTAGTTTGGGGTTTAGGATCTGGTGTTCAGCGGTTCGAATGTGGGGTTCACGGATTTTTGACGAAGTTTTCCCTAGAGTCCTAGAGGCTGCCCCAAGCTCTGAATGCATTGCCTTAAGCATCTGGTGTCTTTATCTGTGAATTCAAGGAAACATACTCCAACCATTAATGCCTCCATAAAGCATTGTAAACACCTCTCTGAAACCCTAGAAGTCATGCATCCTTTATGAAACCATATATAGAACCCTAAAGAGGAGCCCTACTCCATTCTTAAAGGTCCTAGTTAAGCCGTCCAAGATCCAAAAAAACCCTCTAAGACACGTGGAGGAGCCGCTGAAAACCTTATCTGTCTATTCCTATCTATCTGTTTGTCTGTCTATCTGTCTATCTCTCTTTCTGTCTTTCTATCTATCTATCTATCTATCTATCTATCTCTCTTTCTGTCTTTCTATCTATCTATCTATCTATCTATCTGAACGCACACACACACATCTACAATATTCATGTATGAGTATATCAAGCTGTGTATGTGTGTATATAAATCTATATATATATATAGACAGATATAGATATAGATATGGATATAGATATGGATATAGAAGTAGGTAGTTACCCTGAACCCTAAACTCTAATCTCTAAACCCTAAACTCTAAACTCTAAACCCTAAACACCTAACCACCTAAACCCTAATCTCCAAACCCTTCGAAGTATAGCCCAGGCATTTTGGCCTCACATGGCCCCCAAACCCTAAACCCCAAACCTTGCAGTTATGAAAGCAGGTAGCTGCCCTAAACTCTAAACCCTAAACTCTGAACCTTATATAAACCCTAAACCCTAAACTCTGATCCCCAAACCCTAAGCCCTGCAGTTATGAAAGCCCCTGTCGTTACGTCAGGCCAAGGAGTCCAAGGATTCCGCAACGCGAGCACGACTGGTGGGAGAGGTCCAGGCGTGCCAGGTGCCGTGGGCGACGTTTAGATTGGCGGTTTAGGGTTTGGGGGTCCTGAGGTCTAAGGGCTTAGGGTTTGGGGTTTTGAGGTTTAGGGCTTGGGGTCTTGAAGTCTTAAGGTTTAGGGTTGGGGGTTTAGGATTTATGGGTTCAGGGTTTAGAGGTTTAGGGTTTGAGGGAGCAGGGGTTTTGGGGGTAGTTTTTTTTGGGGTTTAGCGTTTGTCGGCGTTGTGGGTTGTGGGCTCATAGAGTTTCAGGTTTCAGGGGTTTGGGGCACAGGAGTTAAGGGTTCGGGGTTTGAGTTGTAGGGCTCAAGGGGTTTAGTTAGGCTTTGGCAGGTTTTGGGGCTTAGGGGTCTATGGTTTAGACAATGTGTTTACATCATGGAAACTCAACAATATAGACAGATAGTTCTTGGTTGAGCTTTCGGGTTTCGGGCTCCGCAGGTCAGGCTGCGTCTTGAGATGCAGGTGGCGGAGGGCTGGCTACAGATACTTTTGCACATCTGGAGCCTGCATGAGCATTTTATCTGCAGGCTCGTGCTGCCAGGCACAATCCTAGGATTAACAACGTCTCCCCTAACCTTCCAGGCACCTACTATATGGGGGCTTTAGTACCCTATGTAGTAGGTACCTGGGGGGCGAGGGCTCCATGGCTGCCTTTCTGAGTTCTAGGATGCAACATAGGGGCCACTGCATACCTCGCCCTACATCGCAGATCCCGAATCGTGGGCCGTGAGAATACCCAAGTAGAACAGCACAGAAGCATGGGTCCCAGAAGCCCGGAAGCCCTGAACCCCCGAGCCCTAGTGAGACGACCCCAGAACTTGAATCCACAGACCCGAAGCCTCCCCTACATCACCCTCAACCCACACAGTAAGTGCGCACCTGATCCTTCCGAAACCGATCACCCGAAACTCGACCTGCATAGTCCCATAATCAACGCCAAGCAAGCCCTCAACAGAAACCCTAAACCCTAAGCCCCAAACCCTAAGCCCTAATCTCTTCTTTTTCTCAGGCACGAGAGGAGGAGCTTCAACATGCGCTCTCGCAGCGCGATGCCGAGGCAGCCAATGCTGCTCGCAGGGTCGCGCAGGCTCAGGGGGAAGGGGTTTTAGGGAGTGTAGGGTTAGGGTTTAGGATTTGTCGGGTTCAGGGGGAGGGTGGGCCCTGCGGCTTCTAGGGATTCTAGCGTTCACAGGCTGTTTTCAGGACAGGGTTTGGAAACCCTAAATTCAAAGCCCCAGTCGCACTTGGACCCTAAACCCTTAGCCCTAAGCCCTTAACCCTTATAACCGGGGTTCCTTCGAGGGTTCCTATACAGGTTGCCATACATTACGGTTCTATAGGGTTTAGGTTAGGTTGAAGGGTCCATGCACCCCAATAGTATTTATATTCTGGCCCCGAAGTGCCTATATAGGCCCTACTTTAAGGCGAAGTCAAGTATATACTATTTGGTTACATCGACCATTAGGGTTAGTTTAGAGCGAGGGGAGTTCATGTCGTCCAAGTCGTGGTCGTCTTGGTGGCTGTGGTGTGCTACTCGTATCACTGCTTGGGGGTCTACACTGGCATTTCTGGACTTGGAACACGTGTATATCACAGTGCCCTAGACCCTGGGCTTTTTTTCGGAAAGGGCCCGTCGCATAAGAAAGTTTCGTGCTTTGTGCTTTCAACATCTTGCGCTGAACTTGGGCCATAGACGATCGAATGTTTCAACATGCATTGCTAGTCTTGGTCTTGGGATCTGCACTTGGTGGCAACCTCCCTGTTGGCACTTTCGGCGCTTGTTCGGATTCTGCAAGCTGTCTCTAGAGAAAAGCCTACTATGAGGCTTTGTGGGTGTTTTTTGGGTTCTTTGGATTCTATACTGCCTTCTAACCACAAAGGTTCCAGCAGTAGGCTTTTCGAAATTCTTGAAGCGAGACCTAAACCCTAGAACGGTTTCCCGCTCAGGCTGAGGCACGGCTGGCGGCGAAAGAGAAAGCTGCCTGTGAAAGTGCAGAGGAGGCGCAGAGATTCTGAACACGAAACCGCTGGACGAAAACTAACAAAAAAATCTTGGAAGACGAATGGACAGTACTGAGCTGTAAGATGGCAGTATTCATGTAGACCTTACGGAGAGACAATGTTATGCTCATGATCGTCTACGGTGCGGTAATCTGTGTTGTAAGAACCCTGAGGGCCTTTATAAAGACGTAATCCGAATCCCCACACCCCGTGGTACGACACTCGGATTCATAACAACCCGAACCCCGAGCCTTCGTGCAACCTCATTACCAAGAGGTTCCATATTATATACTACTATTATGGAATCAGGTCCCCAAAACCGTCATAGGGATGGTCTTTTGGGGCCTAATTACATAATGGTAGTGTGTATGGACTCTCTGGGTTATGCGCAGTGTATCACGCGAGAGAGACCACCATGACCGTCGCCACCCCCAACCCCCACCCGCGCAAAAGAGAAGAAGACACACCAACCCCGCAACCCAAAAGCAACACAGTAGACACCCTTAGCCTTTGTCGGCAAACCCTGATCCGTAAACCTTATAACCCTGCGCCTGAATCCCTAAATCATCAAACACCCCAGGCGCAGCAGGCCTTTAGCCGCCTCAACGATTTGGCTGAAGAGAGGAACCGGCTACGCACCGAGTTGGAAGACTTCCAAGCACCTGGGCTTTAGAGCTTAGCGGTGATCTCGATCTCCATAGGGTTTCTCTTGTGGTTTAAGGGGCTTAGAGGGTGTCTATAGGGTTTTTATTGTGGTGCATGGTGTTTTCAGGGTCGTATGTGCCAAGAGGTTTCAGAGTTCAGCGACAGGGTGTGGCTTGCCCTAAACCCTAAACCGTGCATGCACCTTGGCTTCAGGGACTGGAGGGCTTGGGGATTGAGGGCTGCGGCTTCAAGGTTCTGAGCTTAAGTGTTCAGGGTTTACGGTTTATTTAGGGTTTAG